ATATTAACAAGGTCACTGAACGTGACGCTTGCTACAGGGACTTTCACGTCGGACCTTGGCACGATGATGCCAACAACAAGGCACTTGAAACAATTCAATTTACATCGACTTGACCAGCTCGCATCAGTGTCAACTGAGTTATGCCAGGCGAGGATGAAAGTCTCAAACTGGAACTGAAGAAAGGGAGACTGGGAGCAAAGCAATCAATGAAGGATGCATTGTCCTTTGAAAGAAATCGTTTGCTAAAAAGCGGTCCTGTGTAGTGAAATGCTTGTGTATACTACATTCTTATACGTGTAATAGAGGTAAAGCAAGCCTACAGTGCCTTGTCCTCGGAAGGTATCCAAGTGTCCTCGATTGTATTGTTGATTGACTTCCGAATGTCAATTTCATCGTGCCTATTCATGACAGGTTTGTGCGCATGATAAGAACTGCAAAAATCAAGCTGCTACTGTGCTAAGTACACAGGACATTTTTATATTAGAGAAAATAGGCCTTCAGTGCCCTTGTCCTCTGAAGGTAAGCCTCTGTCCTCGATTGTATTGTTGACTGACTTCCGCATGTCGTCAATTTCATCATACATCTACATGACAGGTGCGTGCGCATGATAAGTACTGCGAATATCAAGTGCAAGGGACATTCAAACACTTTTTTTCAGACATTGTGTGGCTGTTTAATATGAAGCGTTTTGAAGTGCTATAGAATAAAAACAACCATAAACCTGATACATGTAGTCAACTTTGTAACAGAGGAAGGACATGGAGGCACCCACTCCTCCACCACTCGAGGTCTGTGCCCTCGTGTGCCCCCCCTCCCCCAATCAGAAATGGGAATACAAAAACTCTGATGATTGGTCAGTGATCGTGACCTTGGTCAGTGTTTTAACTGTGATCACTGAGTGACCCCCTCCAGATAGTGAGTGCTCCCAAGTGCCCTCCTGCAAGCTGTTCAACTGCTGATATTTCGTACTACTAATAAGGCGATTTGATATTGAATGAATGACAATATTACAGTACTTGGGGAAGTCAAAGACGTTTCAGAAATCACCGGATTGCAGGGTGACCTTAAACAGGAAAGGCTACGTTCTCTTTTTATCACGGCTTGTAGAAAGAGAGGGGGGGGGGGCTCAGTCTGTTTTTCGTTCTTTGGCCATTACAAAATCTTTGATCCAGAGGTAGGTAGACCACCGTGATCTAATCACTGTTAGTCTTTCCGCCCAGGGCGCCAGGAAATCTCGCTGACCAACCAGACTATTTATTGCGACCTCGACAACCACGCCTAATTGATGCAATTTCACAGCTTCACAGCAACCCCACAGGACACGATTTTACACCTGCCTGGGTTGTGAAGGTGGTGTTTATACGTACAGACTCATTAAACGCCCAAATTTACTTCACTTGGCCCGCCGGCTACTGGCACCGTTGAGGCCGGTATCGGCACGCGCATTACGCGATTTTCTCGTTCAAATCTGTCCACTGGTAATTTTGTCACGAAGCCGGCAATAAATGCACGTCAATAATTATTTCTGGGAAGCACCCCGAAGGGCACTGATGGAAATGGTGTGATGAGACGCAGTTTTGTCGCATTCAGACGCGTGTTATTAACGTAGAGGTAACAGTTGGGTCGTAACAGGTGTCGGTAGACAGCAGGCTTAAAACTTCAGCTTAATGTAGAAACTTCAAGGCTCACGACTTTGGAAAAAAAGGTTATTTTTCTTCACATTGATAAAAAGCCACTCGATCATTGCATGAATATCAATGCCCATCATGACGGAAACCAGGTAACTTGCGCCGTTATGCTTTTGTAAGTTTTAATTAAGCTTTGTTCTGCTTTTCATTCAATTTCTGTCGAGTTCATTGGGTCAATTTCCTTAATGTAATTTCACTGAGTGGAAAGCCTTTTTTCCCCCCAAAAGAATAATTTTTGTGTTGGTCATTCGTTTGCGTTGTTCGCCCAAATAACGATAGTAACTAATGGTGTAAACAGTGTGTCACTAACTTCATTAGTTGGTTCCAAGGGCCCCTAATAAGTCCTGGGAAACCATTAGCCATTTTCTTTTTTTCTTTATCCTGTTTACCGCCCTCATTAAGTCGCTGAGTCCGCGCGTTTTGCGAATTTGGCGCGCGTTGTTTTCCGAACCAATTAAGCCAATGAAACTCCGGGGCCCGGTGTGTGCACAGCACGCGGCCGGCCCCCTGCGCGTTGATTGGAAAGGCAAACAGATCTCAGCCCGTGTAAGTTGTAACGAGCTGGATATTTCTCACTCGCGTGGCACTGTTAAGGGTGCTCTAGGCTCCCTGGTCACTGGTTGCCAAACAATTCCAATTGATTTCTTCCCCCTCCCATCTTCTTCCACAGTTGTTGTCCCGTGAAGCCGCTTTATCAGCGACCCGTTGTCCCGGGAACAAGCTAATTAATTTAGCCATGTTTACCCTCCAGGCGTCAAGGAAATGGTCAGGCGCTGCTATGCGCAAATCGCGGAGGTAGATGATCGGGCCACTCCGAGTAGCTTGTTTTTGCATCTTTGGAGCAATTTTACAGAAAAATGACCCAAAAAAATCCAATTTGTAGAACCCCTTGTTGTCAAAGAATTGAATACATGTACAAAAATGGAATTGATGTGGGACGGTTCCCATCCCGGTAATCTTCTCTCAGAAAACACTGTTACTTTTTATTTTTAGAGGATTTTTTTCAGCCATCACAGCTTGTGGAATTATTAATATTCATATAGGGCTATGGTAACAACGTAGTTCTGACGGATTTGCACGAGAACTCAAGGAAGTCTCCAGAATACCGACTGTTATTTGTACCGAACCTGAAATATAGTGGATAATTCCTAGTCGGCGTTCCGAGGGTGCAGTGGAATGGCCGTGTTCAGAACGCACTCCTGAATAGAAAGTCATGTTCTGAGTGCAGCGCGTTGAAAGCTAATGACTCGGGAGTACTTGGTAGATTTCTGGAGACATACTTTAAATTTGTTCGCGAGGTCGGTATCAATTCCGGAAGAAACACTGTATACGACGCGTGCATGACCGGCCTCGGTTACGACTGAACATCTTATCGGGAAGACGGGGGAAAACCAAAACAGAAAACAAAAGACGTATAGACACCAGCCGTAATCCCAGACATAATAAAAAACGGCTGGTTTCCCTTCTGTGACCCTAAGTAATATTACTCTGCGATTTTTACAAAGATGAAATTAAAGTCCCCCCCCGTCACTCTCGTTGACCCTAGCTATTGGTAAAAATGAAGTCTATCCAATGAGTGCTCGACCAAAATTACGTCATGCCTTCACCCTTTCAAGCGCACTGAAGGCGGTAAGAGCGAGCGAAAGATTACACCTTTGCTCACACACTCTTGATTTCACTCTTCTGGAGATCGAGGGCTCTCTGAGACTGAGGGGACTTACTCTCGTCCCAGTACCTTGATATAGTGATCCACGGTCTGTACTTGGCGTCAATGTCTGGGGTTTCTGGCTGGTGCTTCCAGACAGGTTTAGCTTATGGGTGTGGGCATCGACCAGACAGTCTCCAAACTGCAAAACCTGTATAATATTTCCTGACAGTACTCATGTAGAGAATCGAAAGTGACAGGACTCTGTCATCTTCAACCGTGCTCTCTTAGCAATATGCGAAATCCGACTGGTGAATTTCAAATAAACTTTTTCAGACATGAGGTGTTCTTGTTTTGTGCATGTTGTGTTTCGTTTCAATAATCTGAAAGCCAGAGCTTCGAAAGTAATAATGAGCTCCGCTTCGCGGTCGCCCGGTCTTCCGCTGTGCACTCGGCCCCTGGGGCCACTCCAGGGGCAGGAAAATACTTACACGGTGCATTATATAGATTCAGTTTGTGGGATCAGCCTACTTCGTGATTTAACTTGACCCATTTCTGTCTCATCCCCCTTCTACCTTCGGATGGTTTTCATTTCCAAGGACGGCGATCGAGGTAGGGGGTGTCTGCCCGGGTCACCTAAATCAGGATACCGGGCCTCTAATGGTGGAACTCGCTGTTGATTTTGAAATTGAATCCCATTAGCGAGTAAGCGTAAGCGATTAATTTTGTTGTTTCAGTCTACCGCGAGGAGACGGGAGTTTTGTTGTGGTGCAGCCGGGACCACTCTTCTTGGTATTCTTGACTTCAGCTCTTGACGGTTGGAATGTTTATTCTACCCGCCTAATGTTCTCCCAACCAGTGTTGTATTTGAGTCCATGACTTGTGATGGACTTGCAGGACAGGGACTTGTGATGGACTCGAATACAACACTGCTCCCAACTCAATGTTCTATGTCTTGTCTGTCTTCTTTTTTTGGGGGGGGATTTCGCTCTCTGTAGCAAACGTTGTCCTTGGTTCTGGAGTTCATTGCTTTCCACAGAACAAAAATATATTTTTTAAATAACTTGATGATAAAAACGATCGCGTAATCATAGCAGTCCAATATATAGAATTTCCCCCAAATTAACCATACTAAACCAATCTGAATGATGACTTCCGGCGGATTTTTCAGGAGGCCAGAGTTTCGACGTGAATGTTCCCTTATGACCATGCCCCCGCTATTAATACATGGTATATCTTTTCTTCCAACTTAGGATGGCCCTACTGATTTTAATATAAATTCGCCCTGTGTCCCCATCGGTACACACATCACAGCCCCGTAGAGACATCATACGGTCCCCAGTGGGGAGTTCACACCTCAACGTGATAGATTTGGCGCTGCACAAACTCAAGCAAATCGTCTCAGCCATGACTGTCATGCTATAGTGACATGTTTGGTTTTCTGAAGCCTGATGTTTGCCGCTTCGAGCGTCGTCGTGACGCTGGGTATATTGTTGTAATATTGGAATTGGTTCTACTTGGATTGTGTCCTGATCGAAGGAACGCGTCCCAATAAAACCCGCGTCATTTCTTATTGCCGTTGTAAATTAATGCCAATCCAAATGAAAGGTATGAAGTGTACGTTGACTGGAGAAAAAAACCCCAATGATCAGAAGTTGATATTTCAGTTTCAGAAGGAGCCTTGAAACCAGGGAAGTCTACACAGTGCATCGATCAGCAGATGTGTTTGACAGACGAATGCGTCGAGGCAGGTACGTATACCTCCATGAACTGGTTTTGCTTGCGCATGAGCTGAATGATTTCTTGGCATTCCTGTGAATTTTCGAAAGAAAGGCATCCTGTAATTTGGACTGATTGTAGATTGTTCACAGATTCTCTAAATTCTTGTCAAGCCATAGTTACCTGACTGCAATTGTATAAGGCAGAGTCCAGATGAGTCGGCTGCGATTGGGACTGTGCGTCAACGAGAAGTGGCTATACTGGCTTCCACAGGCCTGCGTGCCACTTCTTTAGCCACAGTCGGACAAATCCTGGTAACCAGAAATGCTGGCTGCCTGGTTCTAAACTATCGACTCAGCCAGATTCACTGCCGGTCGTTACCAAGGTTCTTGGGCACCCTCGCTGCGCTTTAAGTCTTGTTCCTTTGGTCTCTCTCCTGCAGCCGCTGGTTTGCTTCTCAACATGAACCCCAAGGTAGACCCGTGCAAAGACTTCTTTGAGTACTCGTGCGGCGGCTGGACGAAGAGTCGGGTCATCCCCGAAGGGAGCAGCAAGCTCACCGCCACCACGGAGCTCAAGAATCGGTTAGAACTGAACTGTAAAGGTAATTGCCTGTGGTGGGGAAATGTGAACACATGACGTCTCAGAAGCTGGGCGTGGTTTCACAGTGTTTAAAATTCCCACCAACTTAACCCCTTGAGAGGAAATTAATAGAAGCAAATTACGAAAATAGACTGAGCTGCGTAAGGAGCTCCAAATGCATATTTTCGTCGTGGTTGGCGATTGCAATAGCGAGGGAGCTCACGGGAACTGATTAAAAGCTCATAGTCCAGCATGCCAATATAAAGGCGCCTTTCCGTAATGCCCTTCGTTTGCGTCAAAGCGTTTCGTATGTATGCGTCAATATCGCTCTTGATGTGGGGTCAAACGCAACGCATGCTTGCGTTATGTGAATGGAGTCGACTTTTGTGTCCGTGAATTTGAAATATTGAATTTATGATGTTTTTGACATGGTTATACGTATTTATGGTTAGTTTGAAATACTTCACGTGAACTAAAGGTTTCAATTCTGTTAACCTTAAATGGACAATGAAGGGATTCCTGCATTATCTTTGACTGCAGAGTATTGTCGCTGCATGCCCGTTTCCTTCCCATTTTTGTAGGACTGGTCGAAAGTGACGTCACTGACGATGACATCGAAGCAATAGCGAAGACCAAGTACTTTTACCAGGCTTGCATGGACGAAGGTAAGCTGGGATTTGAGGAGACAGGAACATGGATAGAGGGGAAGGGGAAGGTCAGAGGTCAAATGTGGAAAAGAAAACTAAGGAGGACACAAGTTTCTCTGTGCAATTTTTACACTACTGGACTTAGGAGTGACTGGATTCATTCAACCTTATTACCCAGTCCAGAGGGTATGAAATTGGACGATAAGGTCCGGTAAGGGTTGTTAGCCTCGGGCTTATTTATCTTGTTCAATCGATGTCTTCTTTTGGGTCGTTGTAACAAGAGTTGCACCGATGTATAGATAATGTTAGAAGCCTCATTGTCTCGGCTTCTGGACATAAAATGGCTACTGCTCACTAGTGATACACGCATCCTTTCTCGTTCCGTACTAAGGCGTTCATACATGATGACGGCTGATGTTGCTGAATTTACCATGACCCTATCGCGTCCTCAAGCGGTGTGACAGCTCTGGCAGAGTAAATGCTTACGTTAATGACAATGTAGAAATACAGGTTTACACGTAGCAAGCGCTTCCCGAAATTTATCCACCTTGTCCGTTTTTTGTTCTTCAGAAAGGATCAGCAGCAGGGGTTTTGAACCCCTGTGGACCCTTATTGCTAAGTTCGGCGGCTGGCCGCTGATGAACGACACGTCGTTCGACGAGTCGACCTGGAACCTGGAAGACACGCTGGCGAAGATGTACTCCGAGACCGAGCAGAATTTTTTCTTCTCCAACTACATAGGCATCGATCCACAAAACAACGAAATGCACATATACATTGTAAGTATAGGCACAGTCGGATTAAAAGATCTACAAACACTGCAACCAGGGACTGAATGACAATACGACCCTCTTGAAAATTGGTTGTGCAAAATGTGCCTTTTATGAGGGAAAATGTGACTCCAGCAAAGGCTGGTACACTTTTACAAATGAACGCTATTGCTTCATGCACGCAGTCTATCCATGGGCGGAGTTTTGTTGTCCCATGGGGGAGAGAGTGACTTCTGAAAGGTCATCCTTGTGGGGAGCGTTGCACGGCCCTGCAAGGGTTCCTGCAATCTGCGGGAGGCTACGGGTGGGCGTCAGTGAGTTTAACAGTGGGAGGGATGATTATGTTGGTATATTCCCCAGGTAAAAAATAGGGGGATATATCTCCCCATCCACCGGGATAACTGCCCGTAGGTCTGCCAGAAACGGTTGTTTGGAGCATGGGGCGCGCAACTGTTATTCTCTGAGGGAACGCTTGATTAGAAAATATAAAAACAGGCGCTCTTGGTGCATTGATTCGTTTTGCGGCAGAAGGTGCAAACTCGATGGAAAAGAACCAATTACTCATAAGAGGATAACAGTATCAAGAGTTTTCCTCTGTTGCATCGGCTCCTAATCGACAGAATGTATAAATCATTGTCTTGTCTTTCTCTGTTGAGACAACAAATTTTTTTCTTTGCAGATTGATCAGACGCGTACGTTACTGAGTCAGGAGGATTTCATGGTCGCAAACTTTTCACACAAGGTGCGTTGTGTCTTTAACAGCAGTAAGTCCTTGGTATAGCCTTTCATGTTCATTTTTCCAGAGAAATCCGAGTTTCGTTTTGGGCACCAGAGGCCTACGTGGTTTCCCTGTTCACAGGGAAACCACCCTGTTTGGTTAGTCAGAGCTTTGTAGTGTTTTTCCTATTCGCTTTTTACTCCGACTACAAACAGAATGTGGTAGCCTACAGAGAATACATGGAGGCCGTCGCCTTGGAGTTGAGCCTTGCCAGTGAGGATGAAGTGCGCCACCAAGTGCTCGACATGCTACGCTTTGAAGAGAAGCTCATAAACGTAAGTCGTGTTCAGAAGAAGAGGATAAAATAAGATGGAAAAATAAGCTTGGAGAGGAGAAACAGCTCTGAGCAGTGTAGTGCTCCTTATAGTGCACGGTCAATACCTCCCTCTTTTTTACAGTTTCAGCGGTGGTAAATTTGAATGTCTGTAAATTTCTATCGTTTCTCTCTCTCTTTTTTTTTGGCCGGGACCAAATTTTACAGATTAAAATTCCCAGGGGGCCCAGCAGAGTCGTTTTGAAACGGTACAAAAAGCTGACGGTCGGGGACCTACAGAATTCGATTCCACAGGTATGTGTAGTGAATGTTTCTTCAGGACGACACATGGAGTGGCGGGGTGTACCCATTTCACAACTTAATGGGTCGGTTGCAGTCGAGTCCCCCCTTAAAAGTTGCAGCTGAGGCTAGTTGACAGTTCGGCTGTATCGTCCTGCTTTGAAAGTGTTTGAACCCTCATGCGTAAATACCTTAGAAATGTTCCTTGGCTGTTCAGCATCTACAGAGATACAAATTAACAGGAGGTTTTTGCATTTGGCCGAATTTTTTTTTAATTACGTAATAACAAAAAATTGGATCCACAGAGTAGCCAGTCCGATCTGCGCAACGTAATCGTCACTTGATTATGCTGGACGCAAGTTTCTTTCTTTTTTTCAAACAGTTCAACTGGTCAAGATATTTTGACGCCATCGTGAGTCCCAGTTTTAATGACACAGAGCTGTTGGGGACCTACAGCCTTGATTACCTAAAGAGACTAGGGACAGTTCTCCATGAAACACCCACTAGGTATGTGTACGAATCTCAGTCCATACAGTGCGGCGCTAACCCAACCAGCATGGGGGACTTACTGACAAATAATACACCCAGCTTCGGGCCCGTTTAGGGCTAGCCCAACTCTTTGAGTGTGCCTGTAAGAGGGTTGTTGGCACTGCATGCCAACACAAACAGTACATTTTACACATAGCTAAATCTTCCGAAACAGTTGTTACTTCAGTAGATATTTTGCTGTGGTCCTAAATTTGGGTACAATTTGATCTGGAAGTGTTTATTACATTCAAAAGGTATTTTCTTAGATTGATTGTGACCATTCCTTTTTTTCTTGTGACCAACGCTGTTTACATCCATTTCAATACATATGGAGCCCATATTATAAAGCATCAAGTCAAAATGTTCGCCCTTTGAGCAGAATGCACGTAGAAAAGGATTAGTTTGCAGGGATAAATGAAGCGCACGTTTGCGCCGGTCTGGTAGTCTCACTCTCAGCCGTTTTATTATTTTTTAAATCACATTTCCAGAACAATAGCAAATTTCCTGATGTGGAAGCTAGTCCATGAAAGTATCCTTCTCCTTGGGCGGAAATCTCGCAAGCTTCGGGAGGAGTTTTTGTACCTGGTGGAGGGCGAGCATGGGGAGGGGCCCCGGTGGAAACAGTGCGTGACAATGACCGCCAATCGAATGAGCAGCGGCATGTCCACCATGTTCATCCAGAAGTACTTCGGACAGCAGAGCAAAACCATGGTAGGCTAACGTGTTCGAGGATGTAGGTGGAGTTGGTGTGATTTTTCTCCATCGCTGAAAGCTTTTATATATCTTTCTCACGGGTCGCCATCTTTTCGGGAAATTACTGCAACCGCATATGCAGCGTCGTCAGGTGCGTGTGTGCGTAATTGTACAAAAATGCATGCGTGCTGATCCACGACAATGCTGCCAATTCGCGTCTCGGCGATTTTGCATGCAAACAGCACGTGGCGATCTGTAGGAAGTGACGTCATAAGGAGAGAGACCTATTATTGTCGAACATGTCATTGCTGTTGTAGATGTGTAATTGTTGGATTTAGCTCCTCGGCATATTTCAAAATTAATTGTTTGATGCTTTGTTATCGGTGATGTAGCTGTCGTTTGTTGCCCGGCGTTGTTGTGTTAGCGGGAGATTTAAGATGCCTGAAGGCGGCTCGGACATATCCGCCCATGTGACCGTTTGGCCATTGTTTGCGTCAAACTTGAGCTATAATGAGAGCATACTCAGATCGACCCAATCAGTAGACTAAGGCCGTGTATGAAACGGGCTACCAGAGCTACGGCTACGTCTACTGTCTGCGCACATTGCCAATGGAGCGAAGACTATAGACCTGGTTCTAGACAACAGATTTGGATGCAACTTCATACGGGCTATTCGCAATAGTGCGCCTCAAAGAGTTTGTAATGCGTTGACCAATCAGGCTGCGCGAAATCTGTCGACCCAATACGCGTTCGAAGAGTGTCGACAGATTTCACGCGTTGTGATTGGCCAACGTATTGCAAACTCTTGGAGGCGCATCATTGTGAACAGTGAATCACCGGAGCTTTTTATAGAGAGAGAAGCGCCACTAACTTCCGACCTAGGAGCCAAACTGACCGTCCATTATTGTTTGTAGTACATCATGCAGTATTGATGTTGGTTCCAACAACTGAGACGTAGCTCTCTCCATGAACAGCTCTGGAACCGGTATATTTGCCGCCACCAAGCTCGTGTCTCAAAAGTCTCCCTTTGCTTATTAAGTTGTCCTTGCGTAGACACAGTTGTCGTGGCCGTTGCTGCCTTTGTTGGGTTGTGGTCAGGTTTGGGAATTAGTCTTGACTGACCTTAGTTTTGTTTCAACTTTGAGGTTTTTTGGTAGCGTGTCATTGCCCAGCGCCCACTACAATGCACATGGAAATTGCCTCTGCACTAGGAACTCCTTCCCAGATATATTAAACCAATTGGAACAACCTGGTCCAAGACTGGCACTTCTTTTAATTTTTGGAGGCAGGCTCTCCAGATGATTTCCAAACTCAGAGAGGCTGTGCAAGAAACTCTAAATGAAACCAAATGGATGGACGAACCAACAAAAGCAAGAGCTATTGAAAAGGTGCGGTATATATATAGTCCCATGTAATTATCTTAATTTCGATCTCTCATCAAACGACTATGAAGGATGCCTGGGAGTCTGTAGAAGTTGATAAACTTTGACCCTCCCGGCAATACCGCCAGATTTTTCTGAGGCCACGTTCGATCAGTGAACCCATGTCAGGATTTGGCCTGGTTCCCAGGTTGCATTTAATGCACTGGTTACCAGGCAAAATCCTGCCCCTGTTTGACAACTTGTGGCTGGTTGGTCTTGGCCTATATTCTAGCCTTTACTATGGACAAACAACAATCATAGCTAGCCAGTACGGTGCGGCTAATGACAAAGGCCTTGAAGTTCGTGTTACCAGCCGAGCATCTATGGTGCACTGCGAGTCTGGTGCCACGGGCGCCCTGACTAAAGGCTGCCTATGTTCTGGTTCAGCCGTGGGCGTACGCCTACCGTTGTCACTTAACTGGTTCTGTGACTGCCTCATAATCATATTACAGGCACAAATCGGCAAAGATTCTGAATTCCCACATTAAACAAATCGTCCCTGCCCCCAGTCCCTGTCCCCGTCTGCATGTGCGAAACGTGATACTCAAGGAAGACATAACATGGCCTGAAAATGCGGTTTCACTGTCGAACCCGAAACTGAATTGACATGGTTTATACAGGTTTCAGAAAACTCTTGCGGCAATCAATGAAATTAGATCCCCCTTTAAAATACCGATTAAAATTTTAATGTTACTCAGATGTTATAACACACGTACAACTGTCATAATATTTATATTGATGAAAAGTGGTATACCGAGAACGAAAAACATAAGGGAGAAGCACTGGGTTTTTAACGGCAAGTCAAATCCTAGAGATAAATTTCGATTTTAACTTAAAATTTAAGTAATGTGATACACTTTTCCCGCCAGTAATGAACTCCAGATTCTTTTTGAAAACGGCAAGACGAATTAAGTTTGCCACCGCAGGTCAATGTTTAGTGGGTATACATTTTCTAGTAATATGTTTTGTATTTTGAAATTTGTTTGTTTGTGAAGCTCTTAGCCATTCGTGAGCAGGTTGGATTCGACGAAACTGTGAATAACTACACGGTACTGGAGCAAGACTATAACGATGTGAGTAGGCTGTTTTTCCCCCTTTTACTCATTCACCTGCCACCCACCCACCCAACCCTTGTTTTGCCGATCGTTGAGCCAGTCCATTAACTCAAGGTCAACGCTGACTATTTGCTCGTCGCCCAACGCCCGAATAGGGCGCTGGGAAGCGCTGATGGCCTTGCACGGATTTTAGTGAAGGAAATACGTCACACGGGGTCACAGCTAACGACGCACACACCATTGTGAAATAATTTATGCCAGCCGCGCGAACTCGTTCAATGCGCAACACAAACGGTTGTTATCAATTCAATATTTTTTCCTATTTCTTCGTCATTGCTGAAAATATTCTCACTGCACTTTATTAACTTCATCCAAAAATTGATCAAGATAATCAATGATTTGAAATATATCGCCAAAATACACGTGATCAGTGATACTCAGAAGATAAATTACCCCACCGTGACTGTACTAATGAAGGCCATGTTTTTTTCATATAGCTGACACTTTGCCCGTGCCAAAGTATTGCCATTGGTAAACCAAACAATAATTTTTATAACATTTATGCACACATGACAGTGTACCAAACTGTCGGACTTAAGCCAGACTTGTTCAGCAAATATAACAGAACTAACACCTGGACCTACATTGGCGACCAAGTTAAAATGAAGATAGTGTTAATGCTAAATCTGTTCAGATAAGGTATACAATACTGGACCAATGCTATTGTTCCTTGAGGCGTAAGTTTCGTAGCAGGTGCTGTTTCTGTTTACAAAAGCCAGTACTTAAATATCTACCTGTTGTTTTCGCAGGTGGAAATCTCCTCCCAGCATTATTTCGAAAACGTCTTCGAGACGCTTAAAAATGACGTGAAATTTATGCTGAAAAACTTCAGGCGGGCAGTCAACACGGACCGGTATCGGTAGGCCTATTGTGCTTGATTTTGTATACTTGTCAAGCCGAATGAATAAATACCTTGCTCTTTATGGTTCTGGCCCACAACCAACTGATTATCATGACACTGGCATCTTCAGAAAATCGATCATCGCGCCATACCCATCAGGAGCGACTGGCCCATTAACTATTTCAGTATTTCAGTCTTCTGTAGTAAAAAGCACGGTTGCAACATCATTTACGAATGGGCCTACACGGGCTGTTCCTAGTTCAACAGCTAGCCTAACCACCCAGCCAGGTATAACCGAACATCAACGGTACTATCCGAAAGTGCCGAATATAGACGAGACGACTTCGGAGTATTTGCCTATTTCTGGAAAACTGCAGGAATTCCTCCAGTCTTGGTCACGTGGACATTGGGTGATACCGAAACCTTGATTCGTAGAGTAGGCTAGTCAGAATCGTCGGGTCTGGTTTCCAGACTAGTATATCGTCTGCAATGAAGGAGACTTCCAGACGCTTGGCGGCAGCAGACACAATGGTCCTTTTGGTCGATGTGAGCATGCGCGTGCAGTTCTAGGTATGCGTGTTAGTGCCGAGCCCGTGCACTACCGCGAAAAGGGACCTATTTGTCTGCCGCTATCATGCGTCTTAAAATCTCCCATTGCTGATAAAATAGGGCAGATTTTGTCGCAGTCTCTCATGATGACAACTGGTAACAAAATTGTATAAACATTTGTCCTTTGCTTAGGTGGAGTAAGCTTTTTCCGCCATACAAGGCAAACGCGGGCTACCAGTATGCCCTGAATCAAATCAGTAAGTTTTTGTACCATGTCTCGTTGATCTGCTCATGACCATAACGCCAAGCACGAGAATGTTTGACTCAAGGCTAAATACCAACAACGTGCTTTTTTATAAGTGTGGCAGCTTTATTTAAAGAGCAACATCAAAGGAAAACATGTTTCTCTGATTGTATATGTTCAAATAAATATGGAAGCAATCAAATCGAACGCAGTGTCATTTGTCTTCGGATCTCAACTATAACAAGCTACAAAAGGCTTTTTTTCTGTTCATGCCAAGATGCGAATTCTGAACATGCTGAATGTAGATTGCGTAATTCTGAAAAAATAGAGAAAATGAGGGAAACCTTCGCCCTGTGTTGGTAGTGGATAAACCCTTGTGCATGTCAAACAGCGCATGTCAGTAGCCATTGTTTGACATGCACAAGGTTTATCCACTACGAACACAGGGCGAGGGTTTCCTTCAGTTTCTCTGCTTTCTCAGAATGATGCAATCTACATTCAGCATGTTCAGAATTCGCATGAACAGAAAAAAGACCTTTTATGCTTGTTATAGTTGAGCTCTGAACACAAATGACACTGCGTTCGATTTGGATGCTTCCATGTTTATTTGAACAGATACAATCAGAGAAAACATGTTTTCTTTTGATATTGCTCTTTAAAATCTACACCTTCTGAATCTCTCTCTCTCTTTCATGTACTTAATCTGATGTTCTCGTACAGCATTTCCAGCTGGCTTTCTACAGCACCCTTTCTACAATCGAAGGAACCCACAGTAAGTAGATGAGTTTTCCAAGTCAGTCTGGCCCCAGTTCTTCAAAGTTTGACGGCCAAAGCCCTCACTTGTCGTGTGCATGTAGCGTCTCGATAACCTACATAAGGGCGGCAGGATACGCTGTGCAATATAGACAGTTTTCCACAGCTGCTCCTCGCAAAGGGACCACCAATCCTCGTGTTGATGTCCCGAATAATGATTTTTTTTTTACACCTGAATGCAAGCATTCAGAATTGATGCAATTTAGATCATTGTATTACGTGATACTATTGTCATGCTGAAAGTTTTTATATTTTTTCTCCTCCAACATTAATAAGCCTAAAGCTACATTCGCTTTTGAATCCTCCCCCCCCCCCGACCCAAAAGCTGGAAAGGCTGCTGGAAGAAACAAATAATCACCGCAGAAAATCCTCCACACCATTTCTGTAATATTTACTACTTTAGGAAAGCTAGGTCGACCCTTTGCTGCGAATATGTAATGTTGTAGACTTGAATCGAGTCGGACTTACGTTGCTCTTCCCCAGTCAGCCATCCCTTCACTGTACACAGTACGCGGTCTTCGCGCTCGACCGCTCTCATAACTTCTTATAAGGCGCACTCATTCGACAGCCTTTCCGCGATATCCGGCGTCAACGTAGTAGTCCGTAGTAATACATTTAGTAGTCCGACTTGACGGATAAACCAATCAGACCCCTCGTCGGTGATATGTAGTTGTTCACAACTGCAAATGAAGAACATGATCTTGCTTAATGCATATGGAATCTAATTCCACCAATCAAAGTAGTCAGACTCGTAGACTCGTTCAATAAATAGAAGGTAAAAACACGTCAGGTAGTTGAAGTGACTGGTTTTGGTAGATGAGCTCATTCGCTGTGTACAAACGGTCTGGAGATCTGTTAAGTCGGGATTTCTCAACAAGAGGGCGCGAAGCCAGTAACGCCGCGGAGCTACCATGCAATTTCCGAAGGCATAAACACAGACGTCACAGAGGATCTCGACATTGGTCAAGTCCAGTAATGTTGCAGAAACTCTCACGTTATTCAGGTGCCCATTATTATCAGCAGGCTTCTGACTGCGCTTCTGACTGTTATAATCCGCTACAAGCGGAACAAAAGAGGGCGTGTTTTTTGTTTTTGTTTTTGGGTTATTTTTTTTGGTACTCCCCGCATTGGCGCGCCATGATGCGCGCAAGTATATGCGCGTTGGACACGGAGCACGCTGAGTACGCGTAACTAATTTATTCCGGCATTTATCCGGTTCGTAGGTGACTTTGTCACAAAGGCAGACGCGCCACGATTTACAGGCTCCCATCGTAAGTGACGTTACACTTACGAACCGGATGGTCTTTACGTATTCGCAGAACGCGTGCAAGAACCCGCTTGTAACCGCCTATCTTTCTTTTCACCGACTGGGGATGCACTTCAACTTGGGGGATAGCCTCATAATAGTTTCGTTTATTATTAATTAACACATGTGAATTCGGCGGAATGGGTGCCAGTAGCGTCACTTGTGTAAATACGGGGTACTAGTCTGGAATTATACTTAAAATGATTTTCGTCTCTTTTTTGTTTTGTAACAGTTCAATGAATTATGGCGGCATTGGAATGGTCATCGGTCACGAGATTATGCATGCCTTCGATGACATGGGTAAATAACTCAGTTTTTGACTATACACAATGCACGTGTATGAATTGGTTATCACTGTTTTACAATTGCTAAGTTTACACGCCCGCATCCTCGTGTGATCTCGTTGTTTGGAGAGGATGGAATCCTGTCTGTATAAATCATTCCTGGACGCGGTGGAATGAGGCTGCCGAAATGGGACACAATTGCTACACCCACAACCATTCATGGCTAGGTATACAGCTCTCCGTTTTTTATATCCCAATTTTAAATTTTAGATCTGTTCACAGTTAAAACTACCATGACATCGTTCATGACTGCGAATAAGCACTCATTTTCATTGGTGCTATTATTATTTGCTTAATTAATTAGACTTTATAATTTCTTGTTGCAAACGCTCCTGTTTACCTTAATGTGGTACCGGCAATGTAGTATTAAGGTTGTGGCTTGATACGTTGGATTTTAATGCCTTGTGGTTCTCACGGGTCAATGTCTTGAGATACTGTAATGCATTTTATGAATAGGTTGGCGAAGTAATTTCCTTGATGGATTAGTAAAGTAAATTGAACTGAATTGACACAAACGATTTCATTATAGGCCTAAGCAGATAAAATGTGCTCTATAATGTTGCCAATGAAGAAAAGATTTATCACTGGCACTTGCTCTATGCAAAACACAACAAAATAAATTGGTGTCTTTAATACAAGACGCTTTAACCTGAGACGAATCCATGTGCTAACAGTTTAGTTATGGCTATTATTTCGCAAAGACATCACTACAGAATAGCTATTCAAAATCTGAGTAATCATCGAAGCATTTTCTTTTCTGTGCTTCTGGGTCAAATTGGAACTTTTTACACGTTTTGTGAGAGAAACTTTGTAGCTTTGCGCATTCACACAACAGCTGAGCAGGAGTTTTACTTCTGCCAACATCAACCGTATCTGTGCTCTTCCTTGTCTCTTGTCGCTTCTCGTTGGTTTCCAGGCCGCCGTTTCGACAAGAACGGCGACATGAGTGAGATGTGGACTGAGGCGTCGGCCCAGGGTTTCAGGCGAGAAACCAATTGCCTATTGGAACAGTACGGTAACTTCACAGTGGAGCAGGTTAACAGGAAGGTAAACCAACCGACCATGCCTGTTTATTTTTACAAGATAGGCGCTTGGTGGCGGCAGACAAACCGGTCCTTTTCCACGGCTGTGCGCGTGCTCAGAACTACAGCGCCGCCCAGATGCAAAACTGGCGAAGGGAACCGGTTTGTCTGTCGCCGCCAAGCGCCTTAAAGTCTTCCATTGCCACTTTTGTGCTTGGTCGTTCACATAATGTCGTCTATCTATCAATCCATACTCCAGCGGACAGTCGTCGATGGTGTGTTTTCGATGGAATGGCTACATGCTATATTCCCAACTTTTAATGAGCAATTAAGTACCCGGGCGTTTTTCTGCGGTGAAAGTTTTCCATCCGTAATGTCACGTGACGTATATCTGTTATAGCTCGTGACTGGTTTGCGACCCACCCTTTTTTCTGAACAATGATTCCTTGCTAAGCAAGAACTGGATCCGGTGTAAGCTAAATGCAATTAAAATGCACTGTTGGTGTGCTTATTGCCTGTGCTACCTCTGATTTTTCTGCAGGTGAATGCGAAGCTGACGTTAGGGGAAAACATCGCAGACACCAGCGGTCTAAAGGTGGCGTTCAAGGTAAGACGACGACACCGGATGGAAAAAAACCGACAGCAACGCATCCGATTTTATCGTCCAGCAATTACTTTGATGACAAAAAATGACACAATTGACGGCGGCACTGAACAACGAGGACAAGGACAGTCACACCGGTTAAGGAGAGTAGATAAACCCACCCGAATTCACAGCGTTGGGGCTGAATTTAATTATTTCTCCTCTGTCCCGGTGTCATTAAAGCGTTTGAAAAACTCGCTCCCCGTCACTGTCGTAATATCCGCAGTGACAGGAATGAAAATGATGCTCTCTCGTTGATTTTTTTTTTATTTTCAAGGCCTACCGTCGGTGGATTGCGGAGAGGGGTGCAGAGGAACCAACACTCCCTGGGATTCGTCTCACTCACAATCAAATATTCTTCCTGAACTACGGACAGGTATAAGTCTCTCCGCTTCGTTTCTCCCACTATGACCACAGATTTACCGCGGACTACATGTACCTGTGTTGTCCATTTGAAGGTGGGAATTGTGGGGCACTTGTGTTCTTGAGTTAACAGACAAGGACTTGATAATGCTTTCAAGCAGCACAAATTCAGACAACCCGATCCATTTTTATGCTTGTACTATTCCATGTGGCAGCAGGCCTCCAGTGGTAGAAGAGTGGCACACGTGACCTTAATACTATACCTGAGTACCTGTGCATTGGACCCACTAGATGTATACAAGGAGATATCCAGAAGGAATCTGTTTGATGCTCTTGATGTATGCGGTTATGGTAACCCGGCTATGATGGCTCTCAGACAGACTAACAATGATGCCCAAACATATCACTGTTTTAGAAGAGCAAGCTCAGGGTATCTCATCTGCAGGGGGGGAGGGTATACTCTAATTCTTCCTAAGGTATTTTTCTGCATATTTCCTGGCAAGAACACCCGAGTGAAAAAGCCAAGAAGAAACTTCTGCAGCATGATGTGTGAACATTGAACTGCTTGATAGGACTGTAATAATGGTGTTAATTTTACACCACGGGCTCTGAAATGAAGAAATGAATGAAGACCTTAAATGTTACATTTTTTATCTTCTGCGGTCCAGCTGTGGTGTGACAAGAGCCGAGACCAAGCTCTTATCTACCAGTTACAGCAAGATTCACATTCTCCGGGGAAGTTCAGGTACACTGATGTATGTAGTTCTTTACGTTTTGCATTTGTCTGATTTATCAGTGTTTTTTCAGAGGATCCATTGTGTACAGACGGGTGTTAGGACGATTAATCACTCAAAATGAAGTACTGAAATCCTTGGATTCTTTGGTTGATAATCAGCGGTGAAATGCAAGGGCTTAGTGGCCAGCCAAAAGCAGACAACTCTTGATGCATAAGATTCCAGCCGATTTTCTTAGTTTTACACTTTTTGGGTTTTGAAATGTAAATCAATTGCCTCAGCTCAGCATCGGAGTCCAATGCATCGATGGGACGCCCTCATTCGAGCGCAGCTAACTTGTCTATTTCACTTCGAATATTTTATTTGTTATTTTTTAAATTTTTTTGCGCAGGGTCTGGGGGCCCATCATGAATTCGCCCGATTTTTCTGAAGCATTCCATTGCAAGCCTGGGTCGCCGATGAACCCAGCCAAGAAGTGCAGCGTCTTCTGATGCACGACTCTTCGCTCGGATCGGGAGGAGAAAATGAATACGTAAATAAAAGAATGGGACCACCGTGTCTGAGCGTCCACCTTTCTACTGTAGCGCCTGCAATTAACGACAGGTCGATTCCAACCTGAGCTGCAATCCAATGGGTTCTGTCTGATGAATTGTGCTGCCACTCGTCTCCAATACGAAGGTGAAAGAAAATGATGGCGGTGTTTCGCTGTCACCGCGTCTTCTTTCAAAGGCGAACCTCGCTCCTGATGCGCATGCGTCGGCATGACTGATCTTTCTTTTCCACGTTACATGCGCAGTTTCTGTCCACCAGTGGTTGGCAACACCAGAGGTGGTCGACTGATGAGAAATTCATAGTGTTTAAAATCTCACGCTGCCATTCAAAAGCTGAGCGACAGATAATGCTACTTAATACCAAATGAAAGCGCACGAACCTCCGTCTTTGAACACCATTGGAGGAAATATCTGCGAGGCAAAATCTGTTGCCAGCCACGGGCGAACTTTTTGCATTCGCTGTCCATACAAAAACCAAACGAGTAGCCCTGCATAGCTAATCTCCTACGAAGTTCTGATGACAATGCCGCACTTACTACCCTTGTAAGGTGAAATGATGGATATCATTAGTCGCTTCGGTGGTTGTCTGATCGTCTCTTGTATCCCATCTTAAATTTCAGCACACGAATTAATCTTTTTTCTTGGGCTAATTACAATAATAACCTCTAGTTTCCATTTTAATGGCGTCTCAGATTGGCGGAGCATCATCTGTACTTACAGCGAACATACTGCCGTCTATCAACAGAGGCCCCACAAAGCATAACGACTACTTATAAGTGTTTTAGGGGAAAAAATGTATTATTTTGTAAATATCTACATGACGTGCAGCATTATAAGTCTGTATAATAAATTTTATTTAATCCTGAGTAAATACATCATGGCATTATTTTCTGATCAAGTTATATTAAATCCTTCTTCCTCTTTGCATGTTGCTGGAGACGTTGATTACTTAAAGTGCGTTTGTTCGTTTTGGAGAATTTAGAAGTCCAAAATCACAACCCGTCTACCATCTCGCAATTAGTGTATTTATAAGCCTATGTGTAATGTAAACATAGATAATGTACAGACTACACTCTAAAATCAATCCATGCTACTCGATGTCTTATTTACTGTGAAGTGTTTTATGTTTAACATGGTTTCATTGTGCATAACGCCACCGATACCCGAAATCCAGGAAGTCAACGTCTCTCTTTGTAATTGGACGGCAGGGGGCGCCTGATAAATCCAATGTTGTCAGACCATGTATTCCAAGAGAGGAAAAAAAAAACTTCTGTAAACACTCAAACTGTCACAACAGTTAACCACGTTTAGTAAACCGCAATGTAGTCTCTAGCGTCCAAGTCTAGTTCGGTTTTTTTGTTGTTGACGGTGGCCTCATTGAGCAATCCAAAAAAAAAAACACCTTGCGGCGCATGTCTTCATGGCCAATAGGGCGGCGCACAATACTGCTCACCTGAAGACTTAAATATAGGGACACCATTTTCATAGGGCATGAGGAGAAAATCTTGACATGCTTGCCCTAAACGGGATCCTTTTTTTCTCGAGAATACGACAGTTTTGACGTTTCAGCTAGTGGTAAACGTTATTGTTATATGCTTTGCTGTTGGAGTATGATCAAGATGTCAACTCTTAAGTTGGAAAGTGACCCCTCCAAGTCAATCATCTCTGTCTGCGGTAACATAATGACGTCAAGTCTTGTTTACGTGAGCGCTTCCCTTTGGGAGTGAGGACGGACGCGATCCATTGAGCCCCCATGGGAAAGCACACATGTAATCTTAATGCCACGTCATAAGGTCTTAGGTCAATTAAAAATATAATCGCACGATCAGACAGCTCTTTTAGTAGTTTCAAAACATCCGTGCCAGAGCGGCCGTTCTAACGCAGAGACACAAAAACCCTCCATGCCGCTGATGTAAGTAGAGCTCTGTTTTTCCCCTCTATCGAAGCGTGCTGATCCCCTTAATTAAGCCTCCCTAGCCCTCTCCGTTCAAGGATTGGATAAGTTGTCGCTAAATACTTCTCAGTACACCCCCTATAAGCACGACAAACATTAAGTCATCCCCACAAAATGCCTCTTGCGAATGGACGGTGCTAGCAGAATGAAAGTAGCGCAGATGCTAAACATGATATTGGCTTCCGGACTCAGTGTGCGACTTTTATTGGGAATGCTGCAGCTATGACCTTTCGTATTCAGTACACGCCCCTATTGTAATTAATTTCTCCCTTTAATAATGGTAACTGTAATGGTAACCCGTCACTTGGACACCAGCGACGGGGAGTAATATCCGGACACGGCAATCGGCAGTTTATGGTCGTTAATGTCTGACCCGAATTCCGCTCCAAAACGACCATAAAACAAAGAACAGTCGATTTGTATTTGAAGACGGTTCAAAAATCCCGTGTAAAATCTCCTCATGTATGAAAAGGTACTGTAGGCCTATGAGTGTGAATCTTTTTCATCCATTAATTTGGTTGGAATGTTTGGAGTGAGCAAAGAATTCTGATAACTGCGGTATTTCGGTTTAGTTTTTCAGGGCTAGCTGCATCTATGTGGCAGTAACTGGTCGAAATTCACACCGCAAGGTGTTAATTCAACACTCCAGATTATTGTATTTTTTTCTGCTACTGCGAAAGTATAGAACTTTTTAAATATACCTTCTTACTAACAGTTTGTTTAAATTCTAAACGTTTATAGTTTTGATGGATTGTTCTTACCTAATGAACATTGATGTTTAAAAATAGGACACCGATGCTTATTTTGCATAAACATGTTTAGAAAGAAATGACAAGATAAATTGATTAACTTAATTTTGGTGACTTATTTGCGCTTAGTTCCTTTCGATTTTACTGACAAGTAAATTGTCTTTATTCCCGACCGAATAAATGTAATAATATAAGTTTTTTGAGGATTGCATCAAACACATTTCATTAAAAAAATATGTTGGGTCATCCATTTGTATCCAACTTACTATTTCGGAGGTGCATCTTCAGGAGCGTCTTGTTAAGTGACCAAAGTGTTTTGTATTTTTATACGTTTTGTAACCCTTTGGGCACAAATGCGACGTTCTTTCTTTTACAAACGTCAAGGTCCACCTTTTGGCCAATCAGTGGTATTAAATTAAGTGTCTGGAAAATCTTCTGCAAACAAAACAAAAAATGTTAACGGAGGGTACCAAAACCTGAACAAGTTAACCACCCCTTTAACTCAATGAGAACGCAAATGTAACGTGCAATTCGGGGGGTGGGTCATTTCTATAACCATGGTGGGCATTTGTCGCAAAACAATAGCTGCCCATTCGAAAAGACGTCCCGTATTGATTAGAAAAAAGATCTTTTGGCTTATGTGGATCACGTTTACCACCTGATGGTAAAACCACAAGTTGATAGGATCAAGTAACTTTTTGATATAGTAAATGCTGTAAGTGGGTGTAATCTACAAAATATTTTATAGCTTTTAAGTAGCTTCGTGATTATCGCTGGAATAAGGTATATCTCTAATAGACTGTAGTATTTAATGTGACTTCACTCATTGAATTGAACTATAATGTAAATGTGAATTTTTGTACTGGATATTATATCATTATAACATATCTCCTTATATAACCGCTAATTTAAAATATCGGTTATATAATTTCTGTCTTGTACATTGTGTAGATACACCTTACATAAACCTTTATCTTGTAAGGCAGTGTACAAGGTTGCGTATGTAATATTGCTTTTTAATCAGGTAGAATAAACGTGGCAACACGCGCTGGCGAGGTCTCTCAAATCTACGCGCCCTTGGTCGCCAGAATATTAAGTTCCTGCCATCCGTCAGATGATGTGATATGGTTAATAAGTCACGACTGTTGCTTAATAACCGACCGGACGGCCGGAACCGGCGTTCGGTGTAATCAGATTCTGAAGCTGTCTTTCCACAAGCAAAAGTGTCCCTCGTTTCCGGAAAGACTAGGAATTCGATGTCATCGCTGTTCAACGTGTCTATGACGTTTTGGGGGCTTTTTTAGTAAATATAAAGAATATAGGTGTAGGAAAAATGAGATGTCTCTTTTATCATTTAGTCACCTGATCTCTTGGGAATTGAAAAAAAAGTGGTTCGCGGGTCAGTCAAAGTGCACAATATGCTCCAAACCTGGAGCAGATCAAAATCCCATGTGCTTAATGCTCAACGGTCCAACGTTTCCAGGAATGATCCTAATTTAAGTCAAATGTTTTTGATGCGTTCCTCAAGCAAGACCAAGTTGGGAATCAGACACATCCTAAAAGGGTAGTCTTTGTAAATTGTGGTCCTTCAGTGAGAAAGCAATGCCATGTGACCCGATGGTATTCCCAGAAACATCCTCTGCACCACTTTTAAACTTTGTAGTATAGTAGAAGTAGAGGAAGCAGTGTGCGAATTGTCTTTTGATACCAAAAAGGATTGTCCATTTACTCTCCCTGTTGAATATTGCTTCTTTTTCTACCAGAAATTACCCCCATTCGTAGTGTGTAATACGTGGTACATCATCAAGGCGATTTGTAGGCCTTGTATGCTTTTTGCATGCAGTATTCAATATACAGGTAAGCATTAAAACATGGCAAGCGCACAAACCCTCACCAGACTCGCTGCGTGCCGATTATACTTCAGGTCAAGTACTCCTGTTTGTTCGCACCTTTAATCAAGTTTTGTCTAAGGTTGTTGTCCCATAGGCAAATTGAAAGTGTGTGTGCGTTCACTTTCGGGACCATGATAATCGCACTAAACTTGCTGCGTGAAGAATGCCAAACTGCCACATAAGGCGCACTGATGGTCAGGTGCCTATACTGCAAGCCACTGTTTGTGCCTGACTGTGGTGTCCATTTCCAGGTTACTAGACAACACAATAATAATTCGGCTTCCTCGGCAGTCTTCATATCACGAAATAAAATTGTAAAGTTTGGATCTCAGAAAAAGTCTATGTAACCAAGCGGCACAACTTCACCCAAAGGGTAATCCAAATGGTTAAGTTGCATTTTGAGGGATGAATTAACATAAACCATATGCAAAAGAAACACTAAAATGCAAGTTCAAAACAAAATCAAAAGATTCAAGATGTTGATACCGTCCTCGGCGTGGACTCAAATTAAAGCGAGTTTATAGTACCCATCCTATAGGTTCTACTGCGCATACTTTGCCGGTCTAGTCACATCCAGTGTTCCACAGCCTAATTCTACCAAGCATGCGGCAGGATCACTGTTTTAGCCCCTTCAGCTTTTTTTAAGCTGCCACTGCTAAATCATCGAATGCTAGAAGTTCTGTCCAACTGCGACTGATGATGTAGAGCACGGAGTTTTCTTGGTGAGAAGGGCAATACTGTGGCGGAGTCTTAGTACAAAACGCATAATGAGTACACTGTAAAAAAAGTTGGGCAAAACAGTGTTGGGCATTTCTAATTTGCCCAACCTTGGTTAAAGCTACATCACTGTTGGTCAAATATTGACCAGATATTGGGAAGAATCTGCCCAAAGGTTGCTAAGTTGATATTTTTACCAACATTGGGCAAAATACCAACCCAAAATTGACCAACCTTTTTACAGTGTATATAGTCACCTTGAAGACAGTTGCCAGCCACAATTACTGTTGGCTACAAATAAAGTGTAGTCTAAGCTACGAACAATGAGACGTCTCTTTTATCATTCACCTGATCTCTTGGGAATAAAAAAAATGGTTCGCGGGATCAGTCAAAGTGCACAATATCCTCCAACCCTGGAGCAAATTGAAATCCCATGTGCTTAATGCTCAACGGTCCAACGTTTCCAGGAATGACCCTAATATAAGTGAAATGTTTCTTAGCGCTCCTTGGTGAAAAGGGCAATACTGTAGCGAAGTCATAGTGCAAACCGCAGAATGAGCATATTCACCGTGAAGACATTTGCCAGCGACAGTTACCGTTGGCTACAAATAAAATGATCGCATAGCATTTAATATTTGATCACCGGTGAAGCCAAGGAGAATAAAGTGCGACCGACTGTTAAAGCAGTCGGGGAAAAGATTTCGATCTTTTAATTAATGAATTAATGAAATGTAACTTTCTGGTCGTCGGGGTACCAGACAAAAATGGCGGCGACTCCAGATCACTAAAGGGTGCATTCCACCCAGGGTTGTATTTCTGCGCAGAGCTCATTAATATTTTGTGATCCCACAGGGTTTTTAATACACTAAGACATGCCAAAATCAGGAAGGTTCCTTGGAAATATTTCTATAAATGCCGAATTTTCTATAATTATTAGAGGGAGCCATGGAACTGGAAAATTGACGAATCATGGCATGAACCTCAGGCCCTGACTGAGGGCTTCCAATTCTGAGCAATTTGGATGCAATCGGGTCCGAAAGTGGTACTATTTTAGCAGTTTTGCTAGGGATTCCTTTTTCAAAATAGCTACTTTTCCGGGCAGTGAAATTTCCTTCATTTTAGGGGTGGCCTGCTCTGGCTGAGAATTTCTCAAAATTCATCAGTCAACCCACTAAAAATAGAAAGAAAAATGAAAGAGGACATATCGAACATCGTGTTTCTGTTAAGCCTGAACACCTGTAAGAGTTGTATTTTTAAATATTTGTGAAGTATGGGCATTTATCACTGCTGTCTACGGGAATTTACTTGCTGCGGTGCACCCTGCACATTCTTAGACTGCACATTCTTAGAATGTGTGCACTGAACCAGTGCTCGTTCATGTGCGGAGAAGCGGCAGCGAAAGTGCAGCATTGCCAACTTGGTTTTCCTTTCTCCTCTTATTAAGTTCGCTGGAGGTGATGAATTGATAACACATACACTAATTCCCTCCTAACGGTCCCTCCCCGTTGTCGCAAATAGACGGCCCCAGCAGGGGCAACGGCCTTCCAGTAATGGAACATGACAACACTGCACAACATGAATGGATGTCTGTGCCGGCTTGGAGTGTCAGGGAGCCCGACGCGCCTCGCTGGGCAATTACAGCACTCCGTGGCGACATTCATGCGTTTCTCGGCTGGCAAAGATCAATGAACTCAAACTTCTACAGAATAGTGCATTTGATATGTAAAGTCCATGAGAAGACGGGCGAGAAATAAACAAGGAGTTCAAGAGCTTAGGGAAAGTTCAGGTACACGTACAAGTCCAAGCACCCTGCTCCATTCAGCTGAGGTATCTTGAAGTCGGGTGTGCGTATCGCCAAGTCGCTTCTTTGTCAGAGTAAAGAGTAGACGAACAACCCCCAAAGCATTTTGTTACTTGTTGAAACTGACCTAGTTTATGCTTTCTTTCATGGAAACATGAATTCATTAATTTAAAATAAAGACCCCACTGAACTGAAACAGTCTCATTTGATCCCAGTATATGGGGTGTTGCGATTAAGCAAAAGTAGATACCGTTTTCTTTGAGCTCTGCGAAACCCCAAGGCCGAGCGATTCGGCGAGTCGACGCTACTTATCGACAATTTCGAGCTGGTAGCCGATCAGCAAAGATTTAACTAGTGGGGGGCACAAGGGGGTACCAGCATCTTATGAGGGGCACCAGCTTTCAGTGGTGTTTTTTTTTTTTTTTTGAGGGGGCGAGTTTTTGTTATCCATGTTTAATATCCATTCATCCGTTTTTTTCAGTGGGGGCGCCTGGGGGAGGAGGCACCCGTGCCCCCAGCCCCCCCCCCCCCCCGTGGCTACGCCACTGTCGCTGAATAGCGCAACTTAGTGATTTGTGCCTTTATGCAAGACGCCCAAGGTTGAAGTCTTCTCATACATCTACCGAAACACCCTGGACCGTCAAGGGTACAATGAATCACCTATGCAGGCGGCTTTCTCAAACAATAGTCTGCTATTACGTTCAGATTTCCCTTGCTATTATATCGTTGTAGGCCTATATCCCGGTACCTTCAGGTTTTACGTCAGGTTTTCTTTCCGGATCGTTTTTACCTTGTAAAAGAAACGCATTAGTTTTATAGAAAGCGGTTTTTCAGGGACATTTCCCTCCTCCTGTCTTGTGCTTAATTTTTCATCATTCTTTCCTCTTTTCATTAAACATTTGGAACTGCTTGTTTGATGATTACAATTCGCCTAGATGTCTCAAAGGTAGAAAAGAAAAAAGGAACAAAAATCTCTATAAAAAGTAAGGGAATTCAACTGAATATATTTCAATAATTCATGGAGTCACTTTAGGGTTCATTAGCCCCCTCATTGGTCTAGCTTTCGCCACGCCCTCGTTTTATTAACCGCTACCCCCTAAAACCGTCGTGACCTAGAAAAGTTTGTTTCCTGTCTGCCAATTTTTCTTCTTTTCTTTGAAGTTGATGAACGAGCGAGAACTCAACTCTTTTTCCGGGTCAGCGGAGAGAAGTCCAGAAACCAGATGGATGGATCGGCACCACGCTTGACCGCCCGCCCGTTAATCTGACACGGACCCCAAACACTGACAGGCAATTTACAGCGCTCGCTGTCGTCACACTTCAGCCAGAATTTCTACCACACACTTTCTTTGACATTTTGGTTTCACACGAAGGTACCCCAGCGTAGTGGCAAAATCCCGATTCTTTTGATATTGGCTTCGTCAGGGAATGGTTGTGATCGGAATGCAGATCGAGGTAGTCGGACTCAGAACCAAAAATTCTGGGGGGGGGCATTTTTTCATGTTAACTTTGTAGTCTTTTTGACGGGTTAGGCTAAAGTTGTGAGCATTTTTACATGCTCCTGGAAGGAAGAAATATGAAACAGACTTATTGCCTTTTTAGCTTTTGCCTTTCTTTTATTTTTTTAGAAGCAGCGACAGCAACAAAAACAACAAACAACAGCATCAACAAACAAACAACAACATCATCATTCCTCCTTATGGAGGGGGCATGACTCCTCCCCGTCTCCCAACTGGATCCGGAATGGTTGCTACCAATACATATAGTTGGCTACCAATACGATGACTAATCCTACCAAAATTGTAACTCCTTCAACTTGGAACTTATCGACAAAGTTAACCTCGACAAGAGAACCAATAATTTGCTCTTTACGATGCTACCATCGAGTGGCTAACTGCATATGAAGGCCAGTTTTGGGGTTGAAATGAAACCTGAGAATGTTCTTAACGTGACCACCTTTTGTGTTACCGCTCAGTTGGCTACCAATACGATGACTAAGCCTACCAAAAATGTAACTCCTTCAATTCTATAGATTTTTTCTCCCCCCCCTCCTGCGCTTCAGATCGTCGTGTAGGTTTACAACATACCATTTCAAATGGTCGGGCGTTTCCTGGCAATTCTGAACAATCACTTGAGCGTTGGTGTGTTCCTTTTTACCCTGATGCAATTGATAACATGCCCAATGCCATGATGATACATGAATGCTGATTGACTTCACCCGGGCGAACAGATTCCGACTTATTTGCGTTTTGTAGAAGTGTATCAGACACTGGCTCGTTTAACTGGGACGTAAATTGTATTTAGACGCACGATGAATTTAAATACAATGTAGATTATCACTGAATATTCAGTCTATCAGCGAATACAAAGAACTGGGTTTGTAGTCGGATGGGCTCGCTATTCAGAAAACAATCAGACAAAATAATTGTCTCGAGCTTGCGGAGAAAATATTTCGTTTCAGTTGCGTCATCAGAAATGAAAATATAAAATAATCATCAATAATCATGAATAAAACTTTATGTCAATTGTGAGTACAAACTCACAGTCGATGAATAAATAAATAAAAAAAAAACAATGTTTTCACTTATTTGAATGTCGAATAAAGAAATCTTTGAATGAACAAATTGGGCAATCTGCGGCGCGCAAAACCTGCGTTTTTAAATTAGCAGAGCTCGTGAGTTGGTCAGTAGTGGAAGTGTATTAACTGTGTGTCACTCAGACAGGTCATTAAATTGTGAAACGTTTCAAGAAATCGCTTTTTCAAACATAACTCCCAAGATCGATCCAAGAACCTGATCGTACTAGGAGTATAAAACCTTCATTCGCGATGAGATGTTTTGTAAAACCAAATATAAATTGCCCCTTTGATTCTCCAAGGCAAAAGAAACACTGTTCAAGAAATACTTAGTATAGAAGCCAAGGACGAGCGTACTTTACTGTGATAAACGGTCTGCCCTTAAATAAACATTTTCGAGATTCCGCGAACCCATAATCGCCCGAGTCGAGTATTAATAACAGAGTCTTTAAATACGAGCAGCTTTTTAAAGCATCAATGCGTGTCCTCTTAAACCGATTTTTTTTTGTTTTTGTTTCTAATTCCGGTGAGCTGAAGAATGTGTTTCTTCAACTGCCGTCTAAGTGGAGCTGTGCCAGCTTCGAGCACCTTCGCGAAGACGGCCCAAGCAATAAGCAAGTCATGACGATAACATCATTCGACAACATTACGTTCGATCGGCTGCGTCGACTGGGCATAATTCGGCCGCCTCGCAAAGTTCATGTACACGAAACACAAAGCGCAATAAATTTTGTCGACACTCCCAATACGTTACAGGTGCAGGACGGCGAACAAGCAATAAATCCCATGCGCACGCCGTAGGGGAGAAGCGAACCATGCAGTCGATCATTATAATTATTTCTTTGTTCTGAATGTTTCTGAAATAGCTGGCTATCAACTCATAGGCAGATCACAGTCTATAATAAATGCATTTTTGCATGGAATTAAATGTCAAAGAAGAAATAACCCTCGAAATAATTTGGTCAGGAGTAACTATGATGAGCCAATACAAGAGGGAAGTTCCAAAAGTTATGGGCCCATCGACCTTCAGGGACATGATTCAAAACTTTTTCAGAGGTTTTATAGTTGGAATGGGAACAACTTAGATCATATTCAAAATCAACAGAGACAAAGTCAAACCAAACGTGTGCTACAGCCAGATAATTAATTAACTCAGTATTTACTAACCTGACAATAACTTCAGTTTGACCGGTTTGATCTCCCATGGGCATGTTACTATTGAAACCATGAAAAGGCCAAAAAAGGTCCATGGTTTGGGAAGTTATCATCGGTTGTCATTTTCTGTTCGATAGTGCCCACTCATTTGTTCTTTAGCCGAGAAGTGTGTTTCAGTTTTTATCTCCCTACTGAGCTTCATCATTTGACGAAGACAAAGTTGATGGGAAATTTTGAGCTCAAACTAACCAAACCGCTTTGGCGCCATTCTTAAATTGTAGGAGAGATGCATTACACAGAGAGACCTACGACAAGGGATTTTATTGAGTTAAAAACAGATATTTAAACAAATTATTTCATAGACCAGATTACGTTGGAACTGAGGTGTGCAGAACGAGCTTTGAGTTTTCTCCAGATCATTTGTGGACTGAAGACAGACATCTTACAAAGCGAAATTTAGTTTTCACACTTTGCACATGCGCACTGGGGCTCTCTGTAAGGCTCACCGCGTCTTTGGTTAGGTTTTTGTCGCGGATAGCTGATGTGTGTACGAGTTGCGAACTGCATGCGTGTGTATATAACATGCCGCTCCGTAAGTTGCTTGATCAGCGCTCACCGGCACTGGCATGCCGACTCCTGACCACAGCACTGTCTGAAAAGAGCCGAAACCACGACGTAACCGAGCCCAGCCCCCCTTGGGAAAAAGCAAAATACTCAGGGCAGTAAAACGTCTTCTGCTGTCCCTCTCACCAACAGTCTTGCGCACGAGTCGGCGCCGTCCTTAGATCCGCACAAGTACAGCTGTAACAACGTTCCACATACAGCTCGGCAGTGCTGTCTGCTTGAGCCCAGACGCGAGGCGGTCTCGGGACGCGCTGTTCGTCATTGCATGTCTTCGTCTTCAGATGAGGCTCATTGAAATCTTCAGGACAGAAATCAGGTGAAATTAGCAAAAGAGAGAGAGAGAAAGATAGAGAGGTAGGAAAAAACCGGCAGAACGGGAAGGAAATGAACTCCGAGAAGAACGGGAAAAACCTGGAGTATCTGTCCATGGAGGAATCCCAGGAGGTGATGGTGAAGGGGAATGCGTACGAGAAGGGACGGGGCAAAAAACCGCCCAGCAAAAGCAGAGCCGGCTGGCTCCGGAGGCGAACCACGCTGGAGAAATCCCTCATCTTGCTCCTACTCATCCTCAGCCTGGTCTGCGTCGTCTTACTCATCGGCCTGATCGTTACGGCAGGTAAGACCTCGGCTTTTATCTCTTTCAGGCCCCTTTTTTATCAACCGAGTTTAGCCCACGCTTCGACAAACCGCCTACAACTTGCCTCTGTCTCCTGAAGGTACTCGAAAAAGAAATCACCCATCCCACGCAGGCTGATGCCTAGCATGTAATTAAAGAAAAGTTGCCCCTGTAACGTGCATTGTAGAAATGACTGATTCACTGAATACGTTGATGGAATTCGACCACAGTGTATGATCGCAGTTTGTAGTTGTTTGGATACCGACCCGAGTACAGCACATTATATCCTCACTTTTTTTTCGAATTTGCATGTGAACAAGGCCGAAGTCCATAGGCTTCGATCAGCATACTTCAACCCAGAACTATTGAGTCCAAGTCAGGAAAGAATGTTGAGACCCTTTAAAATGATGATGTTTGTCGGGCAAACAACTTTGTACATGCCGGCATTTAAAGGGCACTTGGTTGCCTACGCTAGCAGTGTTTTCTCACTCATTCAACGCACGCTCTCTTCCTGCTCGTTTAGTGAGTGGTTTGACAATAACACGGCGTATGTACAGCATATCTAATGCATTGGTCACAGTGTCCCTGTAAACACTTCTGCCGAATTCAACCGTTTCTCGAAACCCATGTTTTGGCCAAGCAATACGCATAAAAAGGGGGATCTGCAGCAATCAAATAGAATGACCAAATTACGAAAGATGCACAAGTTTTTAAATCTTTTACGTACCGTTTGACACACGTAGAAACTTGAACCAAACGAACGCCATGAAGGAAACAGGTTTATTGTTAACTTATAAACATTCAAAGAGGCTTTTATCCTAGATAATTTTTCGCACGACAACCACATTTTTAATTCTACAAAATTTCTAACACAGTTTCTGCTCTATGTATGCTTCCTCCGTGTGCTCCTTCAGTACGCCTGCAGTTTGGAACATGTACTGGACTATAGTTCGGAGAGATTTGTCTAACAAGAGAGAAATGTGAACATTGTCCTGGGGGCAATGATGTAGTGCAGATGTGCTCGGTACTTTGATGTCATTCCGACCAGTGTACTCTCAAGTACATATTCTCAGCGGAACTGAAGTCAGCAAGCAATCAGAGGCGTTCATAAATTCATTTCATGCACGTTCGAGCCACGTAGCGGCTCGAAGGGGGAGGTCTCGGCGGAAGGAACAGCTTATGGCCTAAGTATAACTCGGTCAAAGTGGCTCCGGTGGGTGGGAGTTCTCCCCCCCCCCACCCCGGCTGGCCCAGGGCTCGACTAGGACTCTGTGGCTAAGTTCGAAATGCCGTGGAGTCCTCAACAGGCGAAACTGCCGTCATGCCTGCTCTCTTGGCTGAGAATTCCCTAGTTGCGCTCACTTGAACTTTTCCTTTTTGTCAAATCAAAGTGCGTTTCGCCATGATGGCACATGTACAGTGCTTGTCACAGGAACAACAGACATAATGAGCCTTTTGCGAATTAACTTTGACCCAGATCTGGTACATTGAGTGCTTTAAATTTACGTGAACATAACTTGAATTCTTCCTACTAAAACCATTGTTGCTATACCTCGTGGTTCGGGGCAAGCTTTTGCTTAGTTACATAGGCGACGCCTTACAACAATAAATTGTTCTCAATAGATAAGAAGGGCACAAAGGAACCAGTCCATTCAGAGATGGTGGTCGCTATGCAAAAGCTTGCCCCGAATTACAAGGTATAGCAACAGTGTCTTTAGTCTGGGGAATTTAAATCGTAATGTTTTGTGGAATCAGATAACCCAGTGCACCAGATTTTATTCAAATTTAACTCGCAAATGGCACATTTTCCTACGGCGACGTACAGCTGCAATAAGATACCTATAGGTATTAGTTTGCCAAGTAGTGACATTTTGGCAATGCTGTGCGAATTATTAAGTTATTACTGATTACCATGTAGAGGGCAGCACTGTGTCCATAAATTAAGGAGTTTTTCAGATTAATTTACGGGCCATTTTACATCATTCTGTTGTTGATCATTGTTGATCAAATTGTCACTATTAATACGATCTTCATAAACAATTTCAACCGTTTAGCCAGAGTATCGAACAAGACAAAAATACAAAACGAGCATTTCTTTTTAAACTCAGAACAGTGGGACAGAAAAAATTCCCTGAAAAATTTTTTCACAATCTACAAAGACTTCATAAAAATGATTTTTGTGATTTCCTTGATGTTTTGTGAGTGCATAGACTAATTCAGCAACAAAAATGAGATACCAGTCATACGGGCGGTTTGCACAACGCTCGCAGACAGGTGGTATGCTTGCGTTCAGCCAGTAGGCTTTTGAGACTCTCACGCATGCGTAAAGTTTGAACACGAACGCGTGATTATGATGTTACCACGGCAATGGCATTGCCTCGGAATACGAGCTGGACGGATCAGTGAAATTTTGCCATAATTTGAACACATGTGGATGAAAAGAAAATTATCCTAACGCCCTCATGAACAAGGACCTTCGACATTTGGCATTCTGTCACAGAAAGTATCAGTGAAGTCTAAGGCTTGGTTCCCAACCTGGATTTGAGTTTTCGCATAAACTGCAACACCCAAGATCGGACTTGTGTAAGCCTATCGTTTACGAAAAGGAACGACTGGTTTTACCTTCAAAAGGGATCCGATCGTTGGAAATATTCAGCAAATACACTGAAACCTTTGTCCAGTTTAGTGTACACTGTTGTGCTCATACACCAAGCTCACGCTGATTGACGTCATGCAATCTTTAAAGGTGATCCCAGCATCCTCGTTCCAAGCCATGTTGTGTGCAGTGCGTTCATGTTCAGGGTATTGGCACCAATGAAGTTGCTGACGTGAATATCAATTATTGAGAAATCTCAGAAAGCTTTTGCATAGATACATACTTGATGAAAGTCTGGCTAATTTTTGCCCACACCTGAGCCTTTCTTCAAAAGAGCAACATCGTATAGTAGGCGGATTCTAGTACTTTATCTGCAAATTGTAGTGTATGAAACTTTATACCACGCACAATTTCTAAAATTTTACGTTTTGTTGTTGTCATCTACAACGTGAGCAGAAGCTCCATAAAGTTAACACCAACAACTTCGCATAAAATGTAATACAATTTAGAGACAGTGTAATGGAAGATAACTTTCAGGTTCGTAAGCTTAAAAGTGCCATACGATTACCATCCAAATATCATTAATTTCTAACAACAATCGGAGAGGTCTAATGTATCGGTCATGTATTTCATATTTACCAGTTAATGCTGAGTATGATTAAATCAAACCCAGATTAGGGCTGATTTATTGAACCAATTACACTCCGTAGCTCGACTGAAAGAAATATCTGCCCGTGTGGCCAGCAATTTTCGTAACCAAACTGTTTGACATGGTCGGCCGTCCAAGCGCTGTGACACCCACAGTTTGAATATGGCACGCGGAGTTTGTGGTAAGCCCAAAGTGTTATCAAAACAAATGGCCTCTGATTGATCAGGTGCGAGTAACAAGTAATCATAAATTGTGTATAGTGGGCTCCGCGGCACAACACTGGGCCGACCCCGGCCACGGGTAGAAAAATTAACGGACGTTTTCGGTGCGTGCAGAAGTGGTCTGGGGCAAATCCGGTGTCATGTGAAATCCGCACTCCCCAGAAATCCTGGCTCTAGTTTTTTTTTTTCTCTCTCTCTCTTATATGGACTCTGGGCCTCGCACGCGTTCATGAAGTCATGAGCACTACGAGTCATATGGGTGCGTTTTCATAGTCTAAATTTTACGCTTCACTGAAGCGTATGGGGCTATACCGACTTTATACTCATAGCCAAAACATCAGCCCCGCCCCGACATCCTGTCCCTCTGGAATCAAGATTTCGTCTAGACGATGTAAGAGGCCAAACGACATTTTTATGGCTTAGGAAACAAACAACTTGAAAGTGACAAATTGTACCAAATATCAAAGGTCTTCCACGTGCAAACCTTGGTTCTTTTCCGAAGTTGCTGTACAGGGGACACGACATTTTCTTTACTTATAACTTGCATAATTACTTGATAATGATTTTTTTCAACGTTGATAGCTCTTTTGAGTGGAAGTATTAAGGTATCAAAATGCCCATTCTAAAGAGAAGATATTATGAAAGAATTAACATATTTGGTTAGGAGGCACACCTTAATTAAAATCTCATCCCAAGACAAACGTTTTAGCGAGAGTTATTGCTAATACGCCCATAGGGTCATTATCTTTCGCTGGCTCTGTAGTATTTCCTTGTAACCCAGCAAAACATGTCACAACTTGTATGAGCCGTTCTTCTCTGCATTAAGTAAGCACGTGCTGAAGTGGACGTGTTTCATTGGCTGTATCCTGTCATGTGAACTTGAATAATTCACAACACTGGTATAATCAGTTTTGCAAGACTCGTACGGGTCTTTTCAGCTCGGTGGTATTAGGGCCTATACGAAACGGCGAGAGGCCCTGGTGAGGGAGGTTTTTGGGTTTGAAAGGGTCATCTTCTTATGTCAGGCGATTTATATCAGCATGAAATAGGTCCTTGACCTCAAGATTACAATAAAGACACCCTTGTTTAGCATTCCTATTTTTTAAAAATCATTGTTGACTTTCGTTTGACCAGTGGCAGTATAACAATGTCATAATAACAGTTTAGAAAGCAAATATTCCTGAGAAGTTTACTGAGCAGTTCACATCATAAGATTACGCTTTGTTATCATTTAAAGTCTTGTTTAATTTCCACAAGAAAATGTTTATTTCATGAGCCTGTAAACTTCGTTGTTCGTTCATGCTGTTTGTCCTGCACTGCAGTGCACTGAGTGTATATACACTCAAAGTGCGAGAGTGACATTAGATCGGTCGAACCACCCCTATGAAAAGACAAATAGCTCCGGGATATAAAGCTGAGACAAAGAGGCTACCGTTATTGCTCTGCACTGTGCATCGCTGCTCCACAATTGCACACTTTGGCAACCCCTTTGCCAGGAGGAAACCCAGCACAGCGATGTTTGGCGAGACGAGAT